TTTAGATTGTTGGTCCATTTTTAGTTAGTGTTTGTACATGGTGGGACGTATGGTTCCAGTCTTCATTCTTTTACATGTGGAAGTCCAGCTGTCCCAGCATCGTTTGTTGAAGAGAGTAGTCTCTCCCCATTGTATGGACTTGGCACCCTTGTAAAAAAAAAAATTGGTTATCGGTGTGTGAGTTATTTCTGTACTCTCAATTTTATTCCGTTGGTCTACATGTCTGTCCTCATGTCAACACCTCTGTTTTGACTACTGTAGCTTTATAGTAAGTTTTGGAATTAGAAAGTGTTAGTCTTCCAACTTTGTTGTTCTTTTTTCAAGATTGTTTTGGCTCTTCAGGGCCTCTTGTAACTCCGTATGAATTTGAGGATTGGCTTTTCTATTTACGTAAAAAAAAAGCTGTTGGAATTTTGATAGGGATTGCATTGATTCTGTAGATTGCTTTGGTTAATATTGACATTTTAGCAATATTAAGTCTTCCTAATTGGTGTTCTGAAACCAGTTCCTATGTAGGATGGAGTTTCCCTACACTAACGAGCAATTCTCTGACACCAGCTTAGGGTTCTACAGTTCAACTCAATTCTAACACTATCTACCCAGAGATGGCATCAGATCCAGAGGTTAGGGGCTCAGCCTTGAAGACTGTCCCTCTTCCATCTCCCCTCCATCCCCAACTTCAGATGCCAGTCATAAGTTCAGGTGCTTCTAGTTGACCAGCTGTAGATTGGAGATTCTAATGACCCTCTCCTTGGACCTCAAACACTAGTTAAAGTCCAGATTGCTGCTGGTACTTCTGACCTACTGGCTATAAATCAGAGGTTCCCGTGACCGACTTCTCAGGTTTGATTAGTATGCTAGAGTGGCTCACATAATTCAGAAAAACATAAGACTTAACTAGTTTCCTGGTTTATTATAAAAGGATATAACTGAGAAACAGCCAGAGAAAAGAGATACATAAGGCAAGATAAGAGGGAGGAGTATGGAGCTTCCGTGCCTTTCCAGGTGTGCTACACTTCCCGAATATTCATGTGTTCACCAACTCATAAGCTCTCTAAACACTTCACCCCCCCCCTTTTTTGGTTTTTATGGAGGCTGATTACACAGGCATGATTGATGAAATCACTGCCATTGGCATTTGATCCAGCCTCTAGCCCCTCTCCCCTCCCTGGAGGTCAGAGGGGTGGGAATGAAAGTTCCAACCCTCTTATTACTTGGTTGGCTCACCTGACAACCAGCCCTCATTCTTAGGTGTTTCCCCAGAGTCACCTTATTAATTAATATAATAAAAGACCATTATCACTCTCATCATTTTGGAAATTCCAGGGTTTTAGGAGTTCTATGCCAGAAATGGGGAATAAGACCAAATATATATTTTATTATAAATCACAATGTCACTTTTCCTATCTATGGATATGGGATGTCTTCCTAGTTTTAGGTCTTTTAAAACTTTTTCAGTAATGTTTTGTAATTTTCAGTGTACAGATCATTCATTTCCTTGGATTAATTTTTTCTTAGGTATTTGTTCTTTCAGTTGCTATTGTAGATAGCATTGGTTTCCTAATTTCCTTTTTTGAATTGTTCATTGCTGTTGTATAGAAACAACTGATTTTTTTGTGTTGATAATACCACCAAAATATTACATTTTTAGGAATAAATTTAACAAAAGTTGTGTAAGACCTGTACACCGAAAACTACAAAACATTGCTGAGAGGAATTTAGGAAGAGCTATTATTATTAGAGCTCTATTTATTAATAGAGACTTGCAGTTAATGAACTGAAAGATTCAATATTGTTAGGATGTTATTTCTCTCTTAATTGATCTATTGATTCAGTGTGCTCTTACTTAAAATCCCAGCAGACTTACTTTTCATAGAAATTGACCACATGATTTTAAAATATATCTGGAAATATAAATGCTACAATAGCTAAGAGAGTTTGGAAAAAGAAGATCAAAGTTTGAAATATACAACCTGGTTTCAAAACTTAATATAAAGCTGCAGTAATCAAGACTATGTTATTAGCAGGAAGAAAGGCATATTTATTAATGCAACAGATTAGTGAGAATAGAAATATATCTATATCTATAAACAGTTGATTTTTGACAGAGATGCCAAGGCAATTCATTCAGTGAGGGAAGTATAATCTTTTCAACAAATGATACTGGATCAATTTGATATCCATCTGCCAAACAACGACTGTCACTTTCCCTTACTTTAACACACCATATAAATAAATTAACCTCAAATGGATCATATATCTAAAAATAAAAAAAAACTATAAAATTTCCTTAAGAAAATGTAGTGAAAATTGCAGTGACCTTAGGATAGACAAAGATTCCTTAAAGAGGGCACAAAAAGCACAAATTATAAAAGTTTAAAATTGACGATTTTGAAACGATGCTTAACATCACTAATCATCAGGGAAATGCAAATCAAAACCACCCCGAGCTATCACTTCACACCAGTTAGGGTGGCCATTATCAGAAAGTGAAAAGATAACATGCTGCTGAGCATGTGGAGATAAGGGAACCCTTGTGCACTGTTAGTAGGAATGTACATTGATACTGCTCTTACCAAAAAAAAGTATGGAGGTTCCTCAAAAAATGGTAATTCCACTTTTGGGTTTGTAGCTAAAAGAAGTAAAATCAGCACCTCGAAGAGATATCTACATTCCCATCTTTATTGCAGAGGTATTCACAGTAGCCAGAATATGGAAACAAGCTATGTGTCGGTCAATGGATGAATGGATAAAGAAAATACTGTATGTATATACAGAGGAATATTATTCAGCCTTAAGAAGGAAATTCTGCCATTTGTGACAACATGAATGAATCTGGAATACATTATACTAAGTGAAATAAGCAGACCTAGAAAGACAAATATCTCATGATCTCACATATGTATGAAATGTGAGGAAAAAAAAAGTCAAACTTTAAGTGTGGAATGGTGGTTACCAGGGGCTGGGGGCTAAGGGAAGAGGGGAGCTATTGACCAAAGGGTAGAAAGTTTTAGTTATAAGATGCATAAGTTCTGGAGACCTAAGGTATAGCATGGCAACTGTGGTTAATAATGAAGTATACTTGAAATTTCCTCAGGGAATAGATCTTAAATGTTCTTACAACACACACAAAGAAGTAACTGTGAGATGATGTATATGCTAATTAGCTTGATTGTGGTAATCATTTCACAATGTATACATACATCAAAACATCATATTGTATGCCTTAAATTTTTTTATTTCTCAACCATACCTCAGTAAGGCTGGAAGAAAATAGATAATTGGACTTCATTAAAATATCTTCAAAGAAATTGCTAAGAAAATGAAAAGGCAAGACAAAAACTAAGAGAAAAAATTTGCAGTGCATGTATCCAAACAAAGCTATTTATCCAGAATATACAAGCAACTTTTTATAAGGAGATAATGCAGTAAAAACAAGGGTAAAATTTTGAACAGACACTTCACTAAAGAAGATTCACAGATAGCCAATAAGCAAATTAAAAGATCTTCAGCATCTTTTATCATTAGAGAAATGCATATTAAAGTTATGAGACATACTTTAGAATTAAAAATTTAGAATGAAAATTTATTTAAAATTAATTTAAAAGCTTTATTTTCCCCCACAATTAACAAATGTGTTTCATGTTAGTTTAGTTGGACGTTTTCTTCCTATGGTTGCCTTTCTCATTGGCTACACCATTGGCAAGGAAATTTATCGTTGGGGAAAGGGTTAGATTTCATAGAGATGCTCTGAGCTAATCACAGAAATGAGAGGGTATGACCCAGTAACCCCTGAAGGAGTCGATGAGCTCAAGGAGTCCTTTCAACTAAAGGCTTGGGGACAATATAGGCTACTGCATCCTGCCCTTTGGAGATACTGGCAGGATCCTCCTTGCCGAAGGGACAAAACACAGCCTCTGTGATCAAGAAGCATAAAAGCCACATAATTCCCTCAGTGTCTGCCAAATCCTCTTCCTCAGTGGCCTATGCAGGAGCATTTTAGCCAAGTAGGTAACTGGCTTCTGCCTTGGGGTCCAGAGTGCATTCTTCACCAAGTACAAGATTGGTCTTCACTCCAGAGTTCACTGGTTACACAGTTGTTAGTTTGTGCTTCGGCGGGTGGATGTGGAGCAGATTGATCTCTCATATATTACTGGTGGGAATGGAAGATGCTATTGCCACTTTGGAAGACAATTTGACAGTATCCTGTAAAATTAAACATGCATTTACCATGTGACCCAGCCATCCTACTTCTGTTTACCTCAAAGTTTTGAAAACATGTGTCCACACAGATGTTCAGAGCAGCATCATTCATGATAACCTTAAAATGGGAACATCCCAGATATTCATCAACTTGGTAAATGCATTAACAATTTGTCATATAGATGTAGAATGGAATCCCACTCAGTTTAATACAAAGGAACAGGCTACTAATATATGCACCAGCCTATTGCAGAACCTTGTGTTAAGAATTTCCTGCGAATTCCAGAAAGGACATAACTATAGTGATAGAAAGAAGGTCACTGTTGCCAGAGAATTGGTGGGAGGGAATTGACTGCAGATGATAAGAGGGAACTTTTTGGGGTGATGGAAGTGCTATATATATCATGATTTTGGTGATGATTGCATGGTTGTATCCGTTTGTCAAAATTCGTTGGCTAATTTTATTCGTTGTCAGTTATCCCACAGTAAAACTGAATAAGAAAAAACAAAAAAAATTTAAATGATTTAACTTCCTTTAAGGCATAGTAGGATCAGAGGGAAATAACAGGTTTCATTCTTCTTTGAGACTTTCACAAGCAAGGGTCTGCATCCTCTGGCAGAAAAAGGAGAACAGCCCTCAGTAAGATGGTAGATATCCAACTCCACTCATCCATTGGATGATTATATTCAGAAAAGAAGCAGTGATTTTGCTCAATAAAAATAATTAATATTTAATAAAGCAAATGTTTAAATTTTCAGCTTCTTATTAACTATTACTATGATTTTAATCACTTCAGAAATATAAACCTGGTCGATGTGATGATATTTTGAAATGGAAGCCTCCCAGTCTGAATTCTGTGGATTTTCGCCTAAAAATAACAAGAATGGGAGGAGAAGGGTAAGTGTGCACCTTTGTTCCCCCATCATTTTTTACATGAAATAATGCTGTTTGTATAAGGCTTCACTGTTTACTAGGTATTTTACATACACTTTAAAAAAAAGTATGTAAAAGTACATATATTTTATATATGTACCCCAAAATATGGATTACTTCTTTGACCTATTATAGCTAACATTTTGTAGCATCCTTTAATCTTTACTAATTTTAGTAAATAGAGAATGAACTTTGTTACATTGTAAGTGAAAATAAATTTTACTTGAAAGTAATCCTGTCAAGTGAATAATAAACCTAAGATATTATTATTATTAATTATTATTATTATTATTATTATTATTATTAAAATGTTTTGAAACAAGCCTTTTTTCCTTTGAAGGAAACTACTTCATGTTTACATTTGCATAGCAAACATTTATCTATATATTATTGGGATAAGGTTTTAATTGTTGAATTTCATTAAGATTTTTTCATAATGTTCATTAATTGTTAAGTTTTTTCATTTATTGGTTAATCTTTTGTGACTTCATTGGTTGCTATTTTAGAATAAAAGATGCTTTAGCATGAATATTTTCATTATTTTTCCAAAGTCTTGTTTTATTTTACCTTGTTCCACAATATTTTATGGCATCGTATATAAGTGAATACATAACAACAAAACAGATGTTTAATCAAGGAAATCATAAAGAGAAAATAAATAAAGTAACGCTGTCAGAGAGATTAAGTTTCCCAGTGCATGCCATGAAATACTTTTTACTTGCCAAAGATGAACTACAGACTTGGTCTTTTGTAATGAAGGATGTATGATCAGTTATGTGAATCCAAATTCCAGAGGATTAAGTCTCTTAAAAGACTGTACTGTCTTAAGTAAAGGACACTGTGTAGTGTGGTGAGTCCTAACTACAAAAAGGAGTTTATTAAATCATATGGGTATCAGTTTTCAAAAAATAGAGTAATTAGTATTTTTATCTTTAAATAAGAATTTGTGACTTAATAACAAAGTACAGTTTAGGCAGAACAGTTATCTGGGGTCCCAAATAGTGTTGTTTTAGGTATTTTGTTCTGTATTGGTCTGGTTTAATCCAAGGATAGATAGATAACTTTCGACTGTATAAGTTATATGTATAATATATATATATATTATATATATATAATATATATATTCCATACAATAATAACAAAGATTAGATAAGAGAAATAATGTTGGCAACCCAGAATATCTGTACACCAAATATCTGTATACTTTGTCAAGAAGAATAGTGTTGGCTTTACTACTTATCAGTACTTAGCCAAAAATATTATTTCTTTAATTTAATCCTAGCTATGCATTGGCATCAATATTAATATCAATATTTATTAATTACTAAGTAATATCATCAATATAATGTATTATATTAATGTGATACTATTAATTATTAATAAGATGAATCATTGAATATTATTAATCAATATTTTTGGAAACTATGGTTCCCTCTGTAATATCTTTGGATAAGTATTGATAAGTAGTAAGCTCCAGATCATTATTCCTGACAAAGTACTTGGTGTACAGGTATTCTGGGTTGCTGGTTCACAGTGAAACCTCCACATCAGTAGTTATGCAAGCTGAGTGTAGGCCTGGCGTGTTTTTATGGAAATGTCTTAGAGACATTTTCACTTCTAGTGGTGGTGGCTGAGGGATTAATTTGAATGGGGCTGCCTGCATCTTTTTTTTTTTCCTTAAAAGACATAGATGAATATGGTTCTGTGGAAATAAGACTTCAAAGCTGAAGTAAAATTTGTTAAATTGCTTCATTACTAAATCTTCTAATTTGCCTAATGCTTTATTTATGGTATTTCATTAAGGAGTATAAACTCTTGTGTGTTTTTATTGATTGCTTCATTGAGTTTTGAAAGATGATTTTGTTTTGGTTTTTACGGATTGTAATTCTTAGCAGGACTTAAAAGCTACCCGAGGCTAAATGTAGAATGTCCATTGTTCTAAGTAGTAAAAATGATATTATTTTTTCCTTGTAATTGTCCATTGCAATTAAGTATAGCAAAATGTAATTCTGTTCAGTAGTTTGTCATTTGCTTTTGTTCTTAGTACGTTTTTAAATGTATTTTATTTTTTAAAACCTTTATCAATTTAAATGTCTTATAAAAATGAATCATTTTTTATTCTACTGCATCTTTAAATCTTTAAAACACACTGAAATATCAGCATTTACAGTGATTTTTTTTCTGATATGAATATGCAAGTTACATTGGTGGAGGCACATGATTAATTTATGTAACATGAGTGTCAGTTCTCAAAAATGGGGTTTTTAATATGAAATATAATGTGATGAGTATTGTGTAAAATATGTATTATTCAGTTAGCCTGAGTAATGTGTTTCTTTTCATGTAAAGAATGTTATGTATTATAGCAGTTTTCACAAAATAAATGAGTTTATATCTAATGCTTATGTTAGGTGTGGTTTTTTAGAGAGCATAATAAGAAACATGCCTGTAGTAGTTTGAAAGGAGAGTATCTATGTGTCTGAATGATAAGAATCCAAGCATATGCCTAGTGAAGTGGGACTAGGATACTGAAATACCATGAGAGAAGCTAATTTCTTTTCTTGATTGTACTTCTAAATATTTCTACAAGGCTTAGTATAGAGTGGAATGTCTTGAAAGATACACATACCAATCTTTGAAAATATCTGCAATGATTTTTTTTAAATGCAGTTTTAGGCTTTCAAAGTATAGTTTTGAACCTCCCTCAGCTGCTGTAATAAGGTGATTGTAGTATAGATTCCTGTTAGATTAAAATTTAATGAAAATAAAAAATCTATTAAATGCCCTGTTGGTGGCAATTAAAATCTAAAGTTTGCTCTTTTCACTTCTTGTAGTGTCATTTCTGAAAATTTGAGGTATATTTATTTAATGTTGATTTATCATGGCCTGAAATAACTTGTGTATATCTTAGCAGTTTACATTGTGTTGACCTTTATAGACATACAATACAGATTTTCATCTGAGAGCTTTACATTGCTTTAAAAGTATTGTGGGTTTATATTAACCAATCTACAACCAAAACCTGTGGTCATTGTCAGAAGCTAGGATTACAAAGGTTGTGTTCTGGAAAGTGCAAACTCTAGAATATGATGTCAGTGACTTACAGTGAGCCCGATAAACTTGCTGTTTGTGTAGCGTAGTTTAGAGCATAGGTTCTAGGTTTAAATCTTGTCAGCTGTGTGATCTTGAGCACATTCCTTTTTTCTGTGCCTCTAATTCCTCATCAGGAAAATGGGATTCACAAGACTTTTGTGAGGATTAAATGAACTAATATATGTAAAATATTTTAGAACAGGTAGCACATGGTAAATGTTTCACTGTTTGCTATTATTTTTTGTTGTTTTCAGTAAGATAGATTTAAAAGTCCATATTCCCTTTTTGCCAGTCCTGTAATTCTGTGGTTTGCTGAACCGTGTAAATTCACTTTTCAATGTGAATCATTTCCTGTTTGATTCCAATCTCTGTTAAGTTTTCCCTTTTAAAATGCATGTATCTTCAATTTATTTGTGTAATTAATTATAAATTGTTAAAACACCTGGAGAGCAAGAACATAACAAAGTCACAAAACTTATTTATAGACTTTTTTGGTAACAAATGTCTTAAAATAGTGGTTGACAGTATGTATAGTGGTTAAGAACATGGATTATTGGCCAAGACTGCACAGAACCAAATCTTAGGTCTGCTACTAACTTGCTGTTATAGTCTTGTTCCTTAAATTTTCTAAGCTTCTTCATCTGTAAAATGTCCACAGTAATAGTGCTTAGCACATAGATTTATTGGGAAGATTTATTCAGACCCTGTGTTTAATTGTAGAAGTGAACAAAGTAAATACGGATTCTGCCCTTGTTGACTTTGCGATTACAAGCTAGTGGGCTAAAATGCAAAAAAAAATTATTGCTTTATGAGGTTTTGTAGGGATTAAATAAAATGATGCATTTCAGGTCTGGGCATTTGAAGTTGAGAAATGCTAGCTTAGTAATAAGCACAATGAAGTAAGTAGAATCAACCACACGATTCTACTTTACTTGAAAATGTATAAAAAAGTCCTCTCATTCTGCTGACTTAAGTGTAATTTTCCTTTTGCTTAGATTTATTTTTAGAAAAGAATGATTAATTCCATTTCTCATGCTTATTTGAACTAGTGTTATTATTTTTAAGAAAGAAATTATAGTGGTAAAATATTCCAAATGTTGGAAAAAAGTTCTTATACGAGAAAGGATTAAGTCAGCAAGAATATAGGTAATAAACTATTTGGGGGAAATATCTTATTTCTTTTTCTTTTTTCCCCATCTGCTCTGTTTTAAAATGAAATGCTTCACTGTTTTATCTACATTTCATTAAAAAGTTATTTTAAATAAGTGAAATTAGAGGTAAGAATAGTAGTATAACCTGTGTGATTATATAGTACATTTAATGACTGTGATTTGGCATATAGCTGGTTATATTTTCAGGGGTATAACCGTGGCCACTTCTATCTTTTAGCAAATGGCCCATGGTATCTGCTTTGGCTATCCTATTTGAAAATATTCTCAACCACTCAGAAATTTTTTAAGACAAATGCTTCCTTAGGTTTCAGTCCTTTGAGTGGTTACTCTGTCAAATTCTTGTCTATACTTTATTTCCAGTGTGGGCTGGGAGAGGAAAGAGGAGCTGTAGCTGGCTTTTCAATTCTTCTGCCCTGCTATCTATTAGTTACTGGTAATCCCTGTTAACGCTTTCATTTTATCTTCCCTACTTCCTACAGAAAATCTTTCTTAGGCCATCTACCAAAAATAAATACTATAGTCAATACACCTAGGAGAAAAGAAGCATGTGGTCTCAAAACGTGTATTTACAACCTCACTGAAGTCAAAATACTTTCTTTCACTTGTTAATTTACGAAGGAGAAATTGGTATCACCTTTGTTTCATCATTTGGTTTTATGGAATTTAACTTTCATATTTATTCATTTAAAATTCTTTACA